AAAAAAAAAAAAAAAAAAAAAAACTTGCAAGCAAGTGCCTTTAATTAATTCTGCACAATCTTTCTATTCTTTAACAATCTTCAACAATATACTTGGAAATTCAACAGAAATTGATCCTCCTTTCCTTTTATAAAATCAACAAAGCCTCATGATGACCAAATTCTCCACCATGCCGCACAAAGCACTCAATTAGGAGCTACCAGAGCCTAGAACAAGAACTGATCTGGGCACATCTGTACCACATCTATACCACATCTATACTGACCTAAAAAAGGCAAATTTCCATCTCATTTACCGTGTGATGTCGAAAAGTAAGAAGGAATTTCAAGAAATGGGAGGAAACAAAAACGGGAAACAAGAAAACATCACCGCCACACCCACCGATTGCTTATGCTATGGCTCCACAACACCAAACAGTCTTCTTTGAACAAGTAGAGGAGGATCCAGAGCGCAATGATGACGGAGAGGAGGGCGAGAGAGAACGGGGCGATGAGGAGGGATAGGGCGCAAGTGGCGGCCACGACGAAGGAGTAGTTGGCAAGGAAATAGCAGAGATTGCAGCGGGCGCGGGCGGGGAAGGAATCGGGCCAGGAGTAGGAGATGGAAATGCAGGTGATTTTAGAAAGGGACGAAAAACAGTAGAGGCAGAGTTAAGAGAAACGACGTCGTTTTAATTTGGGACTCCAATTTTTTTTTGGGAAGCAGGACTGATGCGCACTTTTCCGTTAAAAAAATATATAAATAAATTTGTTTTTATTTTATATGGAGCTTTATGGTTCTTCACGAGTAATGAAATTTCACGAGAAAAAAAAATACCTCCATCCCTGCCCCACGAAAAAAAATATTCTCAAAATCTCCATCCCATGATGAGGATATCTACTGAAACTCACGGAGTAAATTGTCATCTCCAGAAATTAAGGCATAATGCATGCATGATTCATCTATACACTCTCACTGAAAATCTCATACAATTCTTCGACTTCTATTTTCAGCAGGTAAGTACTGTCGTTTTTGAAACCAACACAATACTTCGTTGGCAATAATGATAAAATGAGGCATGTTGTTTGTTGTATAACGCATCCATTCACCTTCTCATTTGCATGTCCCATGATTGAAATTCAAAATATTTTATTTTCACAGCAAAAAGATTACTATTAACAGAAAGCCAGAGGACCTCATTATGAAAAATAAAATTTGAAGAACTCCATTATAATATTTCAAGAATATACAAACCAGACCGTGCCTGTCGTTTATGTCCTGAGTCTCCTGACATGGAACTCTCTCTCTCTCTCTCTCCCTCTCTCCCTCTCTCCCTCTCTCCACTTTCCATTCTCCATTTTTTAGGTTGGGTTCTGGTTAGCACATACCAATACAAACTTCCCTTTTCTCCGATTTTGCCGCCTCTTTCCATTGAAACCCCGCCTCCTTTTCTTCATCTTCTTCTTCTGCAACTTCCATGGCTTCATGGTACCAACTCAAGCACAAATGAAGCTTTCAAAAACCCCAAAAAACCCATTGTAGTTACTAAAAAACCCAATAATGCAATGTATCAAAGTTCTAAACTTTATTCAGATTACCTCCTCTCTCTCCCCTGTTTGTCCCACAGAAAAAGAGCAGTCTCTGCCTTTCTATTCTGTTTACCTCCCTCACTTTTTGCTCTCCTCCTCCTCTTCCTTTTGGCTTGCAATGGCTTCTCTGTTTTCTACATTGACGTTCCCCTTCCCTCCAATTTCTCGCCGGAGAGGGTCACCAGGGAGAAAAAGGTCACCTGGTTGTCTTCTTCGTTGATGCATGTGGTAAAGGAGGAGGACCCACCTTTGATTTTGAAAACCCACTTGCCTCTTCTGCACAAACCCTACTTTTCTGCAGTACCCATTAACAGGTCTTGGGGTCTTAGGCCAAAAGGGCGTTTGGGGAGACAAAAATCGATGGTTCTGAATGTAGTAGATAAATCAAGAAGGTTTTCGGCTGAAGTGAAGGAATTTTTCAAGAATTCAAAGTGTAAGTCTCCCCGGTTCTTCATGACTTGGATTTCTTTTATAGAGTTATTTGGTGAAAGGGAATTGCTTTCTATTGAGAGTTTGTTCAAGTCACACCCAAATGCTTGTTTGCTTATTGTGTCAAATTCATTGGATTCAAGAACGGGAAGGCTGCTTTTAAGCCCATTTTTAGATAAGGGTTTCAAATTGATTGCACTTAAACCTGATTTCGATTCCATATTCAAAAACACTCCTGCAAAACCATGGTTTAGTGGATTGAAGAAAGGAAATGTTGATGCTGGTGAGGTTTCTTTGGGTCAGAACCTCTCCAATTTGCTTAGACTTGCTTTGTTGTATAAATTTGGTGGTGTTTACATAGATGCAGACGTTATGGTGTTAAAGAGCTTCAATAAGTTAAGAAATGTGATTGGGGCACAGGCCATTGATCTCGAAACCAAAAGTTGGAGCAGATTGAATAATGCTGTGTTGATTTTTGACAAGCAGCATCCATTGTTGTATAAATTCATTCAGGAATTTGCCCTTACTTTCAATGGTAACAAGTGGGGTCACAATGGTCCTTACCTGGTTTCAAGGGTTGTGTCAAGGGTTTCCGGCAGGCCTGGATATAACTTCACTGTGCTGCCTCCGCCAGTGTTTTACCCAGTAGACTGGAGTAGGATTCAGAGTCTTTTTCAGGGGCCTAGGAATGAGGTCCATTCAAAGTGGTTGTGTCAGAAGCTTCAACACATCCGCAGGCAAAGCTTTGCGGTTCACCTATGGAACAGGCAGAGTAGGAAGCTTATAGTTGAGGAAGGGAGCATAATGGATCAAATAATGTCAGATTGTTGCATCTTCTGCAATTTTTCACGGCCAAGTTTGTAAGTATGCAGTATAAAGATAACAACTTCCATCGCCTTATTGTGTTTTCCTCTTTTGGAAATATGTTAATGCTGTTATTTTCTTGTGGTTATGTACTGACTTGGTCCGTTCCACCAATATATATTGTTAATGAAAATCATGAAAAATTAGAAAGTTTTTTCTTCTGTTAATCTCTGCTAAACTCATGCATGATAGTATTAAGCTTTTTTGATAAAAAATTGAAGGTATGAAAGTGATTTATCAGCTTCCAATTAATACTAAAACCTTTCTGGCTCACAAGTTCAGATCATTTTTGTAAGGGGAGGAATGTATTCTGTTTTAGGTGCAATGCAGAAACATATAGTCATTGGACATTATTGGCATAGCAATCTTTTGTTTTAGGTGCAATGGGCATGGCAATCTTGCTCAGTGTTTGGTAAGCATGCTTGGACTGAGAGCAACAGCACATTTATGTGATTTTAGGGTCACGCAAATCTGCTTCTGATGATTTTATATTATATTTTGATTTGATTTCGTGCTCTTTTGTTGAGTTTGAGGCGAAGGGGAGTTAAGTTGGCACATGAAAGTTTGGTGATTTATCTACATTGTATTAGTTGGGCGGCAAACTTCACATTGATTAGCCAGGCAATGATAATCCATTATAAAAGAAAATTGGAAAAAAGAAATTATGAAGTGGATCCATAATTCAAGACCATTGATCTTTGGTCAATGACTTGTTCAAGTTTTCTTTCATTTGTTTAATTAGTGAGGTTTCAATGTCTCTTTGAAACTGATAGAATAGAAGTCAGGAATTAATGGCATTAATTTGAGTATTTATTTGAAATATTGCATTGAGTTCCCTGTTTTACATTCGGACTGCGCCGGCCAGATTGTAAAGTAAGATCCATTGGATGTGGAAGAGAACCCTCAATATTGGGGGGTCTGTCCCTGTTCAATTGTTAAAGTTGTACAATTTAAAATAATTTAAATTGCACGACACTTTTTCATATTCCATTATATCCTGGTTGTTTCAGGAGTCCTCTGCAATTCTGCATTCAGTTTCACACCATGTAGTTAAGCCTCATAAGTGTTCCTATCACGCAATAACCTCTAGATGGGCGTGGTTATGGTCACGAATTAATTTGTAAAGGCTCTTAAAATTATGTTAAAAATTTAATAATTCTATCTGATTTGATTGTCAAGAATAATTAATAATTGACAGAAATTTGATATTTATTACCTAATAAATTTGAAATCAGGTTATAAATATTTTCAGTCATCATATTCATCAATTTAAAAAATATATATAAATATCAATCAAATTGAATATAATAGTGATGGCCTTAATAAATGAATTGGTGATCATAACTATGCCGTCTTTCTTAAACATGATCTAGAGTTGGGGAGATGAACAGAAAAAAAAATTCCCATAAATTAGATACCAAATACTAATATAATCTGAATTAATCTCGAAGAGGTGAAATAATCATACTTTAAATGAGTGTCCAGGAGCGAAATACTATTACTGCAGATGATCAAATACAACCTGGCCTGTTAGTCCTGTAACCATTATCCACAGCAGCAGAACAACAAACTTTGAAAATAATTCTTATATGAATCGTGTAGGATAGGATTCACAACAAATTTTGAATAGACTCCCGTAACTGAACTAGTTCTACTTTGTCCAACACATGCTGGAAGGTTGTGGTTTACAAATCAGAAATGTCAATACATCCTTGTGTTTGCACCAGGCGTTCTGCATCTCCCATTTCAACCTCACCTCCCCGCCATTCTCCCTCACTCTGAAATATCATTTCAATTTCCTCCAAAGATTTCCCTTTTGTTTCTGGGACGCATGTGTATACAAAAACAACAGAAAGAGCTGAAATCATGGAAAAGACAAAGAAGGTTCCTCCAACTGTTATTGCACTAGACACAGTGAGGAAGGACATTGTAACAAGCCCACTACTGACCCTACTCCCCACTGCCCCAAGTGCAGATGCTTGAGCTCTAAGCCTTAGAGGGAAGATTTCAGATGACAAAACCCAACAAACAGGACCAATACCCACAGAGAAGAAAGCTACATTTGCACAAACTGAAAAAAATGCCAATATAATACCGAGTTGTCCATTCCCAAGAAAAGTTAGAGAAATGCTCAAAGACAATAAGCTGACAGTCATTCCAATTGTGCTTACGTAAAGCAAAGGCTTTCTACCCACCCTGTCAATAAGAAATATTGCAATCAAGATGAACATAGTTTTGGTGAATCCAACCCCAACAGTTGCAGCAAGAAGCTGAGAATTGCCCTTGATCCCAGCGTCTTTGAAGATTGTTGGACTGTAATAAACTGTAGCATCAATACCTGTGATCTGTTGGAAGCACTGGATTCCACAACCAGTAATAAGCATCCATCTAACTGCAGGTGTAGGGTTTAATATTTCCCGCCACACAGACTTTGCTTCATACCTCTCTGCATTACCAATCCCAGCAGCTGCTTGTATTTCTGCTAACCTTTCCTCTGCTTCTCTCTCGCTCACATTTGTCTTTAAAAGCACACATCTTGCCTCTTCAAGTCTATTCTGCATTACCAGCCACCTTGGGGATTCAGGGATCACAAATAGTGCAAATCCAATAAAGACTGATGGAAGTATTCCCACACCAAGCATGATTCTCCAACTTATATGCGCTGGCAACCCTGAAAAAGCATAGTTGGAGATGTATCCAAGAAGAATCCCTAGATTCACAAAGATCTCAGGGAAGGATGTAAGTGATCCTCTATCTACGGTGGGCGATATCTCAACAATGTATACAGGTGCTATCATGACCCCAAAGCCTATCCCCACCCCAGCCAAAAGTCTGCCAATCATCAGTACTCTAAAAGAAGGTGCAAGAGCCATTATAGCTCCACCTGACTGAAAAATAACCGCTGCAAGGGCAATTGTCCATTTTCTACCTACTGCATCTGATGTTTTCCCCGCAGCTAAACTACCTAACAGAGAAATTATGCTTAAAATTCCAACAAGAACTTCTTCCTGTACCTGTGATATCTTTAGATCCTCTTGAATGAATATAATTGCTCCACTCATAACACCCACATCTGGGGAAGAAAAACAACACATTGTAAATGTAAAACCAGAAATATCACATAGAAAACCAAATGGGATTTCAGCAATTAAGCAGATCTAGCAAAGCAAACAAACAGATCACATTAAAAACCAAAAAAGATGGAGAATTTGGATGAGAAAAGGGAAGAACGAACCATATCCAAGGAGTACAGAATTGAGAGACGCAAATATGGCACAAGCAATCACATATTTCCTCGTATCGTTACTAACACTCTGAATCACACTCTCCTCAAGCTTCTCGTTATTACTCAACACAATCTGCTCCTCTGCTCCATCAGAAGAATCCATCCTCTTGTACTTCTTCTCATTTTCCTGGAAACCCATTTCCCCCCTTCTCCAATCTGCACAAAATCTCTATAAAAAAAAAATAATAATCAAATTAAACAACTTTTCCGATTTCTATCTCCCCTCCCCTCCCCTCTGCTAAATTTTCTGTATTGGGAAGGGAACGGCTTACAGGCTGAGAAGATATGCACAGAGAGTTTAGATGGTAAGAAAAACCAAGAATTAAATCTGTGCGCGTACATCTTTATGCTATGTTGCGCTTAATTTGGGGCACTAGGCCCACACACACCTCATTGGAGAAAGTCAAGTGTGGGGTCTATTACTACCTATTTTCCCCCATGTACGCAAACCCAAATTCCGTGTTTCCGACACGGGGAAGGAAAGGAAAGCTACGACGGTGACCGGGTCCGACCAGCATTATTGTTGTTCGCCTTATTGTTTACGGCGATGAGACTAAGTAAATTTATAATCAGCATTACGTGTTATCGAATTAGTGTATGAATACGGCCCTTCGAAGTCAGAAAATATCTTTAAGGAGTAAAATAAAATTTTAATAAAAAAAATGAATTTCTGTAT